AAACAGAAAGAGAAGCTATGTAGTGTATTTTGCATTTTTTTCATCTGAAAGGTACAAAACTAAAGCTCTGTGTGTTCCAAACTGGAGCACATTGTTTAAAACTAAAGGACTGCACTACTTTGAATAACAAAGATATTTTCTGTATATATTTGATATATAGATATCATACAAATAGATATCATAGATATACAAAAATATAGTACTTTGAAAATATTCTCAGTAACAAATTATGTACATAAAAGCTGTAGGTGAGGCAAATCAAGAATTGAGTTGGGGGTCAAAAATGATAAATAATACAAAATTGATCTTTTCTGTTCATACTTTAACATTTCCACTTCTAAATTCTACATGTGATGGGAATTCAACTAATGATCATTACTACCACCAGCAGCAGATTACTATTATTTTTATTTATTATCATGCAGGCAAGTAGAATGTGACTATTTCATTTTACCTCTAACCTAAAGTAAGTTATATTTGAAAGCAGGATGGATGATACTATTTTCTCTTCTTTAAAAATCTTCTCTGGGCCAAAAACATGTCTGGATCCAGATTCCGAAAGACTGAGTCCATTGACTGTTAAAAAGAGTTCACGTGGTTTGTAGTCATACTGTTCTTCCACCTCTTCCCTGAGATTTCTCTTCTGCCTGTTTTGTGGGTAACCTCTGCCTCACATGCGAAGAATCAGCGGTCACTACTCTGATTTCAACCAGCTGGAGTTCTCTCCGGTCCAAGGCCGGGTTGCAAAGGCTGTGAATTTTAACAAGGAGTCACTGTGATGGGAGAATCAGAAAGGCAGCTTCCAAATGGCCAGTTCAAAAAGAGCCAGTGGATGTTTATGGGGCGTGAAAAGTACTTTGTAGGAATAAAAATGAAAGAAATATTAAGATGGAACCCAGATGAGGATAAAATCAAACGGAGGAATCAGATCAAACATTTTGATAGAAAAAACAAAATTACAAAACTCGAAGGGTGTGGGAATGACGGGGCTAGAAATCCAAACACAGAAATAGGAGACTTAAAATAAATTGATACAATCAGGGAAAAATAAACTAAATTGTCGGGCCAACTAGAAATAAAGTACTAAAATTGGAGCCATGTGTGTGACAAAGGAGTAGATGACATATGAAGCATTATAGAAATACGGCTTACTCCTGAGGATGCTGAACTATGTATAAGATATACTCAGAGTCTCCCACATCGGCAAAATGAAGATAAAGAATGGAGGGAGCCTTCCATTTAAACAGAGTATTTAGTGGTTCCTAGAAAAGCAGGGACCAGTTTGTTAAAATGTAATCAGTCATCTGGCCCTGGGTCACCGCAGAGGATGATGAAAGGGAGAATTTGCAACGTGCCCTGGACAGAAAGAAAGGAAAGACTGATGGACAAAGAAACCACAATTATGTGAAATTTCAACATCTCTTCAAAATTAATTATTAGGCCTCTGAGGCAGAGACCAGTAAAGACAGAAATGATGAACTGGGCAATTGACTATTTCCTGAACCAAAATGTCACAGATGTGACTTCTCTTCTGTCTTGGTCCTGCCTTTCCCAGTCACCAAGATAACTTTCCTTACTTTTATTTTTTTAACTTTTAAAAATAAATTCATGCCCTGAGGTGAATGTTAAATTAGTTTCAGTGGTGTATAAATGAATGAAAAGTGCAGAGAATCATTTTCCTCTGAAGATCCAACAGAGAAGACTGATAAGAATAAATAGTTTTAGTAATTTGGGGGGAATTTTAGTCACTATGAGGAAGGAGATAAATGAGAATGAAGACAAAGGTACTGGGTAGGGCTAGTTTCACTAAGGTCGAAAGCCATTGAGCTTTCTCTCTCTCTCTCTCTCTTTCTCTCTCTCTCTATATATAATGTATGTATATGTATATATATATGAGATAAAACAACAACTTTAGAAGTAGTGGTAAATATGATGTTAACTAGATAAGAATCTTTAAAACATGGAGAAATTAAATCAAAACATGTAACATTGAAGCCAGGCCTAGTATCACATGCCTATATTCCTAGCACTTTGGGAGGCTGACAGTAGAAAGTGGTACATTTGAGGCTCATGTGGACAACTTAGTAAGATCCTTTCTCAAAACAAAATTTGAAAAAAAAAAAAAAAAAAAAAAAAACAAAAGAAAGAAAGAAAGACTTGGCATATAGATCAAAACAAAACCAAAAAAGGGCCAGGGATATCAGTGAGAAGGATCTGGTTCAATCTCTATTACCACTACCACCCAAAAAATTAAAGAAAGGAAAAGAAAGCTAAATTTCAGACTTTTTTTCTGTGTCATTTGAGGAAGTCACACTCTTTAAAATCTGAAGGGCAAAGGAAATCATAGGTGTCAGAAAAATATAATTTAAATGAAATATCCTTTGCACTCTTAAAATGTATCATGTTGCTTAAAAATTCTGTTGTTCAGAATCATTTTTTGTAGTCTTTGGTCAATAATCATAATGGTCCACTGTTCACTCCCCAGGAGAGTTTGGGGAGCCTGTGTCAGAACATGGAGGAGTGAGGTAAGTCAAGTAGCAGACTTTTGTTAAATGACAGACTTTATCTCCAGCTGGAGAATACAAAAGTCTTTTAGCAATCGCTCATCGAAAGAGAAAATTACATTATAAAGCTAGATAGTCCAAACAGTCCTCGTACTGAGTAGATTGTATAATAGTTATGTTTATCATTATGTGAACCATTTACTAAATTTGGAAAATTTCCTTAAAACAAAATATTCTTTGAAGGTCCCTGTCTAACCAATTTGTCATCTTAGATAATTGTGATATTATCCAAAAGTCACACCATACATGAGCCATCATATTTTGGCAGAAGATCACCAAAAGGGAACAGAGACTGCTTATGAAGATCAATCCTAATAACGGTTATGAGAATATGTCCCATATAGAGACACCTATGTGCTGGTAGCTTGTATATCACAGGTTGTGTGCCTCAGTGCCAATCATTACGTTATGAAGTTTTCCTTGCACCAACTTTTTTTTTTGGTGTGTGTGTTTTGTTTTTTTTTCCCATACCGGAATCGAACTCACGACCTTGCGCTTGCCAGGCAGCCGCTGTGCCGCTGAGCTAAATCCGCAGCCCCTCCTTGTTCTACCTTTGCAAGTAAGAAAAGTGAAATACAAAGAGCTTAGATGTCCTACTCACAGCTCCAGTACAAATCTTCGCATTGTACCACAGCACTGAATTGTGCATAGTTGGAATTGTGAAACACTTAGAATTGTGCTCAACATTCAATATTGTCTACAAGCAATAGCGTCGAATAAAATCTCACGAAAATTACTGTCCATAAAAGTGTGTCTATTGTGGAAATAAAAAGTTTTACTTGGAAATTTATACTAAAGCATTATATTTACTTTGAAAGGGTACTCTTAAATGATAGATAGATAAATAGATAAACCCTAAGCTCTCTATCAGAAAAGGTGGAACTAATAAACAAATTGGAAAAATTTGGTTTCTAAAATCAACATACAAACTTAAATAGCACTTCTACACATAAATAATTAATGGTCTGAGAGAGAAAAAAGAAAGCATTCCCATTTACAGAAACATCAGAAAAAGTGTAATACCTAAGAATAAATTTAACCAAGGAAGTAAAAGACCTATACTCTGAAAATTTTAATGCATTAGTGATGGCGAGATATGGTATTGGTCCAAGGATACAGTTTCATTTAGACAGGCTGAATAAATTCTGAAGATCAATTGTGCAGTATGATGGCTATAGTTAATATGACATTATATACTTGGAAATTAATCAGAGTACAGTAAATCTTAAGTGTTCTCATCACACACACACACACACACAACATTGATAACTATGTGCCTTGATGGATATGTTAATTCACTTTATTGTAATAATCCCTTCATAATGTAGGCATATATCAAAGCATCACATTGTGCACCTTTGTGTACATTACAACTACTGTGAATTATACCTCCTAAACTTGGCAAAAGCAGTTGAACCTATTCACTACCAGGGTGGAAATCGCTTCAAAAAGATTGCTCATTTTTTGTAAATAAAACCTGTGTTCACCACTTGACCTCTATTTGAACTTCCCAGTGGATCATCTGGATAGCTCATATCTCTGGCTCACTGTACTTGAGGAAATTTACTATTTTGAAGGAAAGAGGAATCAGTAAGTACTTACAGAAATTACGGCATGAAATAAAATTTCTGTTTTCCTTTCTCCCCCTCTATTCTCTGCAAACTTTCTGTAAGAAATTGGAACTTTTTTCATTAATCTTGAGTTTGGGGGAAGTTGATGTATAAACATCAACTTGGAGGATACATGATTATCTATAGGATCTACAAAAAAATACCACCAATAAAAGAAGGCAAAGCTATTTCTCCAAGAATTCAAACAAGTATATTTTGTTGTTTACATGCTTTTCTAAAGAGGAGTTAGCTTGTTGTGCCCTGAGATTGAAAGGTATACCTGTTACAAGCACTCGCCGGTATTTTTCACTATATAGCAGACTGTGTCTCATCAGCAGGTGGCAGCCCTTCTGTAGCTGGTAATGTAATCTTTGGTGTTCATTGCACATATCTGTGCCAGGCTTTGGCTGTCCTGACCATGAACAGCTTTAACATACAAGATCAGTGTGTAACCCAGTAGTAGAGATTACCAGGAAATTCTCTGCAGCTGGCAGATATTTTAATGATGCATGGGTAAAACTGGAACCAACCAGCCTTTTAACTGTCCTTGATACCAAACTTATAATGACAGATAAGCCTTTTACTTCTCTTGAGCTAAAACAGAGAGTATAAGCAGATATCTCCTAAGTAAGAGACTCATTTTGCATGGATGCTGAAAGGAAAAAGACATAAAGACAATCTGGGTTTTAGTTACCTACATTTTCAGTGTTGCTTAAAATGGGTCAGAGCTCATCGATGTTATAGCAATGAATCAAACTCTATATATTCAGTGCTAACTGTAAGATCTTGAACATTTACTAAAATCTTTAAAGTTTAATTTACTTACTTTTCTCCTCACACAGCTGTTATGCAAGAATAATTGATCTTCCTGAAAAAGAAAAACAAGTACTCGTCACTTAGAATATTTTTATAAAGACAAAAGGAAAGATTTCATACCGTGGTGTAGGCAGCGTGTGGCATTTCCTGAAGAATCAGATAATCTATTCAAATTGTCCATTGCTATACTATACATAAGATCTTTATCTCAAGTAACTGTGAGCTCCTGACAAGATATTTTATCAAAAGGACAGTAAAATAAGCGTTCCAATTTTCATCTAAAGAATATATATCTTATGATTTAGAAATTATTTTATGGATCCTCATGAAGAACTTGTAAAATGGTAACTTTTTTCTTACGATAATGGAGTAAACTAAAAGGATTTTCAGCAAAACCAGCATCTGATTTTTAGCCTGTGTGTGCTGTCTGCCATCCTTCTGTTTATAATATCCAAGAGGAAAAATACCACTGCAGCTAGTGTACTCAAAGTATGCATCAGGGGCCGGGGATATAGCTCAGTGGCACAAGCGCCTGCCTGGCAAGCACAAGGTGCTGAGTTCGATCCCCAGTACCGCAAAAGTAAAACAAACAAAACACACATCTGTCTAATCTCTTTACATCTCACAAGCAAGGAAACCTGTGGGCTCTATAGCATGATGCAATAAAAATGACAAGAACAATTTCTGATTGCTATACCAGACTGAGCTTTCATTAAATATATATATATATATAGCTAAAGAATATATATATAGGTATATATATATATATATGTATATATATAAAATCTTAATTTTCTCATAATCATATGCCTAAAAATAATCTGGGTTGTCTACCACAAGGATCTTTTTTTCTCCTTTAGTGCCCGTAGAATCAGGAGTCACTCATTTTCATTGTTATCATGACCTTCCTTGATACACACAATAGCAATCAACAGTGAGAAAGCAGCAGAGTCCAAGTTAACACTAACTGAGAATATGAAGTCCACAAACATCCCCAGTTAATGTATCTTTCTGGAAGTGGATTTAATACATGACAAAAATGGTTACAAACGTAGGGCTGGGGCTGGAATTGTAGCTCAGTCATAGAGCCCTTACCTAGGATATATTTAAGACATGAGCTTGATCACCGGCAGGCTCTGGGGCTCAAGTCTCTGGGTTTAAATTGCTTTGTGGCCTCTCATTCCCTGTGTGAAACAGACATCTGTCTTTATCATAATGATTTCTTTATCATAATGATTTCTTTCTTTGTCATAGGATTGAGATAATACTGATAACTATAGCACTTATAATGAGGTTATTAAAACATATGAATTGGTTTTAGTAAGAGGTCAATAAATATTAGAGCCACTCATGGTGGTGCATGCCTGGAATCCCAGCACTCTAGGAGACTGTGGTAGAAGGATTTTAAATTTGAGCCCAACCTGAGCAATTTGGTAACATAGCAAGATTCTGTCTCAAATTTTTGAAAGGGCTAAGGATGTAGTTCAGTGTGAAGTCCCTGAGTTCAATTCCCGCTGTCACACACACACAAAAGTAGTATCACATGATTTCACTAATTATTACTATTAATTACTTGACCTCAAGGCTTATATCATTGCTTAAGTGACACTCTAGTTTCTTTATTCTAGTTTTAATAAAATATCCTGTACCAGAGATTTCTGGGTAAGAGTCATCTCAGATAATTGTAACAATTGTAATATTTACAGTGATTAGAGGAACAGTGGAGGGGTCAGTTTTGATTATCAAATGCTCATAATTCATCAGCTATTTGGCATTGATTGATGGTATATAGCTAGAGAATTGTGCCCCAAATTTTCAATATGAAAATAAGCTAGTAAAAGTATGGATTACAGCCAATCTTTCTAACAATGCCATTCGGAAAGGTTATAGGCAAATCACTCTAATATTGAAAAATAGTCTGACAATTAAAAAAACACTAGTTTGTTAGCAATATGTTAAATAGCTGAATATATTTTTGTGAAAAATAAGTCAACAATAAATGTTTCATATGTATTTTTCATGAATGCAAATCATTTAAAGTAACTTCATTTTAGAAATAAAGATTCTATTTGAATATTCAACTTTTAGCAGATTCTTTGTTTCCATAATGATAAGCCTTTAACTTGTGCACCAGACACCGAAAGACTTCTTGTATTCAGTCACTAAATAGAATAATTAAACAGCTGTTTGATTTTGCTATACACTCTTCTCTAAAACTTACATAACTAAAATTATTCTTCTTTATACTAAGATTTAAGGCAATACCTATGAAGGTAAAGGCTAGATCTAAGTTCATTTTTTTTTTTCTGGTACCAGGAATTGAACTCATGACCTTGTGCTTGCCAAGCAGGTGCTGTGTCGCTGAGCTGAATCTCCAGCCCCTCTAAGTTCATTTTTAAACTATGCTGAGTGAAGTTATTATTTTGCATGAACAGAAAATATGATTAAACACAAAAACCATAGCTTCCTTAGTAGATAGAATTTTAGGTTAAGAATCCATTTCAAAGGAAGCTGAGCTTATTTTCTATGTATAATACAATTGTTAGTAATCAACCATGGATCTAGTTTAGACCAGTAGTACTTTCTTTCAATCTGCCTATTTGTAAATAATCAGACAAAAATTAGTACTTATGCCTTTAAGACATTTATCAAAATTTAAATTTAAAGAACATCTTCGTAACAAGAAAAGTCCTACATTCAAATACATAAATTATCTCTATAGTGTTTACTATAACAGACTCACTAAGATATTTGACAGGATAGGGAATATTTGTAAATTAGATTTTAATAAGCTGCTGTTCTAGCTCAATTAGTGAGAAAATTATCAACAATTAAAGTGAAAAATGGACAAAAGAACTAGGAAATGTTTTACAGTAGTTTTTTTAAACACATGAAAAGATGCTTGCCTTCACTCTTAGAACTACACATTAAACTCTGATGAAATATTGCTTTTTTTTACATATTGCATTACGAATGATTAAAGTATCTGATAATATACTCTGTTGGCAAATCTATAAAGAAATAAGCACATTGAGTCTAGATCATTATAAACTTCAGGGAGTTTTGGCATATCTGTCAAACTAGAAATGCACACAAGTGTTCTATGATTTCATTTCTTTAAATTCATTTTATAGATTTTTTTCTCCACTATGATATCAATATATACAAAAATACTCATTGTAGTGTTGCTTGAATAAGTCGACAACTGCAAAGAAGGTAAGTATGTTTCAAAATGATTACTTTAAAAATAGTCCATTTATACAATTGAACATCATACAGCTCTTGAGAATGATTAATTTCCCTTTCTATGTATGATTGTATAGCATTATCTCCATTATACATAAAACAAAATGTGTACATACATATGTGGCTATGTATTTAAACACATATATGAACCCATATATCAACATTTATATTCATAGAGTACCTCTCCAAGAATAAAATGGAGAAGTCAAAAATAGGTATGTATGACATCCGTCTGCAGGAGTAATATGAACAGGTCTATATCATGTAATGTTTATGTAAATTGGACATGATTTGATCACCAGGACACTTTGTCTCTGTGGTCTTACTCTAAAAAATGCCATTATAAGCTTCACAAAAATATCAAATTCCAACTGAGGACATTTTACAAAGTAACTGGCCAATAGTTTTCAAAACTGTCATGATCACAAAATACTAGGAAAGTCTGAAACAGTGTTGTAGCCAAAAAAGAAAAAGAAAAAAAGGCCAAGGAAACACAATAACCAAACATAATAAGTGTCCTAGCTGGGCTCTTGGAACAGAAATAGGACATAAGACAAACTGAGGAAATCTGAATAAAACATAGACTTCACTTAATTGTTGTGTGTCAGCACTGTCTTATTAACAGTGACATACCACAAAATTTAAAATATCAATAGTTGGAGAAATAAATATGGAATATACAGGAAATTAGCACCATCTGTACAACTTTTATTTTTTTTTTTTTTTTTTTTTTTTTTTTTTTTTTTCTCCGGTACCGGGAACCGAAATCACGACCTTGCGCTTGCCAGGCAGGCACTTTGCCTTTGAGCTAAATCCCCAGCCCCTCTGTACAACTTTTAAATTTGTAACTATTCTTCAACAACAACAAAAAGTTTATTTCAAAGTTAGTCACCTGTTTTGTGACAATTATATGTGTCAGTCCAAAGAGGTTATGATGCTTAGAGTTTTGTCAAAGCTTAGTCTAAGAAAGTTTCTTTTTGGTCTGACTAATAGCAAATCAGGAGTTATTAGCAGACTATCCTTCATACTGTGGATGCATCTCATCCATTCATTTGAAGGCCTTAACTAAAAGTAAAGTCTCCAAAAAGGAAGGAATTCTTCATTGAGAGCACTTGTGATTCACCAAGGTTGCAATATCAGCTTTTCCTAAGGTTTCCAACATGCAGACCTAGTATTTCTGCTATTTCCTCTTTTCACCTTCCAGAACTGCATGCACTGTTTCCTTAAATTTTTTTTATCTGTATTTATATATCTTTTTAATTTTTAAATTTAATTAATTGGAGGGGTACAGGGAATCAAACTCAGTACCTTGCACTTGCCAGACAGGCACTATGCTGCTGAGCTATATCCCCAGCCCCTCTATTTATATATTTTCATCACCATTCTTTATTAAGCACAATATTCATCATTATATATGCATATAAATAATTTGTCTATTATATAATTTATATGCTATATGTATTTTTATAATTAAGCTCAATTATTAAGCCCTCATATATTAAGCACTATAAACATTATATTCTGGTTCTCTGGAGAACTATACCTAATGTGTATAGGTGGGAGAGTAGACTAGAGAAACCAGACCAAATAGAGTGAGATACATTTTTAAGTGTATCCTTTTATTTACTTTTAATGTATCACAGCTATCAGCATCAAGTCTTAAAACATAAATTGTTGAAAAACAAGAAAAAGGGGCTGGGGATTTAGCTCAGCGGCAAAGCGCCTGCCTGGCAAGCACAAGGTCATGAGTTCGGTTCCTGGTACCAGAGAAAAACCAAAAAAAAAAAAAACAAAACAAGAAAGAGG